ACTGCTTCTGTTGTAAAATTTTTAATGACAGCGATTTGAAATCTGTTTGCTTTAGTGATGAATCTGGTTTCAATGACTGGTAGCACTTAAATGAACATTTAAACATTTATGAAAAATGCAAGTTATATATCCAAAATGTTCGAAAATTGCTAGATCTTTCTAACCGTTCTAATTTTTAATAAAAATGAAATAATTGATTCTGAAATTCAAAATGTAATAGAGAGAGAAACTAAATACTGTTATAGAAATAATTTTCTACGTGATTCAGTTTTTAGGTGACCAAAATTTATCTTTTCGTGGAAGTAATAATAAATTGAGAAAAATTATACTTAGTAACTTTATAAAATGCATAGAAATTATTTCCAAATTCGACCCGATTATGTCAGAACATAGAAAATGTTCCCAAATAAAAGATCACTAAAACCATTGTATAAATATATCTAGTAGGTCAGTCCAATGCATTTATTTGTTTGATACCGAAGGGAGACCACCGCCAGGTGGCGGGGAGACCACCACCAGGTGGACAGTCTATTTGAGTCTTTTTAAGCTAGAGACCATTATTATGTAGAGACGGATGGAGCTTTTGCTAGTTTAAAATAGATGGCAGAATAAACTTAATGAAAGTTATTGCCATTTTTATTCCACTCTGTATTGTGTTCATTGAAGAAAACTGATTTTCGTAATATTGTTAAGAGTTATTGCTCCGCTGATTGCTGACAATAGCAAGAAATTTCTATAAATAGGCATTTTGGTTTAATCCTAGAAAAATAAGACTACAATATCCTTTCTCAAGACGTTCCGTTCCGTGTTCGTACCGAGGGATAGACGATATTGTCTTCCTCGTCTACTTAGTATTGAAAATTGGACAGATACGGAATAAGGGGTACTTACATATAGGATAGATCTGAAAGTATTGCTCGATGCAAAGTGGGAATATTTATTACATGAGATAATTTTGTTTTTAATATAGAATTTGCAATATTTCACCACATTTAAAAAATTGTTTGATTAGAAAAAGTTAGGTTAAAGAATTATATTTATATAATGGGTATATATTTTCTAAAATAATTCATTGTCCCAAGAATATCAACTAAGCTACTAAAATAATAAAATCTATAAATAAGTCTATTAAATAATGTATTTAACAAATGTTTCACAATATATTAATTTACATAAAAGACAATAAAAACTTGCGTGAAATGACATTCTGGTGACAATCTCCGGCGAGTCGCCAGCTTTTTGGGCTTTCGCCGGCGGATCGCCAGCGAATCGCTGGCGATACGCCGAAATGAATCTCTGGCGAGTCGCTGGCAATCGACTATGCATACGGCTGTTAGTTTTTCTTACAATTTTTTCTTGATTTTGTTGCTGTCTGCTGTTGTAATGATGTGATAATTTTTTGCAAAAAGATGTCTTCTTTTAACTTGAAATAAATAAGGAAAAGTTAACTTAATTTTTTATTCGTAACTCACGCTATAAGTTCAAGAGAATGAAATTCAAAATTATTTCGGTCTGTACTAGTTGAAACTCAAAAACATCTTATATAATTAATATTTTATAAATTTTAACTGAGTAAACAGAACCGTTGTGTTTTATTACTCTCCGCCTTTGATTGATATGCATTTTATGATGCTGCCGTTGAATGATGTAATCATATATTTGTTGTTGTCAACTTTGAGATATATTACATGATACGAGTTCACGCGACGTATTGTGGTGTGGAATATGGACGATTGGCCATAAGCTGAATAAAATTTATTTTCGCGCGCTGTTTTCGATCACCACAATATATCGCCATGATGTAGTATCAATCGGCGTAATATAATAACTTCTTTTTATAATATCATGTATATATTACAACTTTTTTCTTTTTGACTTCAACGGTCTTATAAACAGACTGTAATGAGGTATGCGAATTCTGCTCAGTTAATATCTCAAAATCTGGCAAGGTTGAGTTTTTGTTTTTAAAATAACTGAAAAATATAAAAGAACAAACAAACGCCAGAAGTTGCGTGCTATTTTATGAAATCTCACATTGGATATTTTTTTTATTTTTTAGATAGAAAAATTGAAAGTAAAGTATATAATTTAAATTTTTCATTATTTTCGTTGGCAATCAATGTATATATATATATATACAGTGCTTCTCAAAAGTCCCCTCCCCCTCTTTTTCTTTTGAACGGTGATACTTAGACTGATGAAATTTGGAGGCTAAAAATGAACTATCGTAAGCTTCTCTACTAGTGGTAACAGGTGACGTAATAGGCAACCGTGACGTCACCAGGCAACTGAAACCAATAATATTAAATGGGACCTTATTTTA